GGGTCGCCAGCGGTCAGCCTCTGGGGAGGTTAGAAGTGAGTGACATTGCCCAGGGAGCCTGGGAAGAGTGACAGGTCTGCGTGAGGAGTGAGCCCCGAGTCAGGTGGCGTGAGCTGAGTGTGCAGTTTGTGACACCTTGCGCTGCCCACCTGCAGGCTTAGGGCTCATTTTCCTGGCACCTCTCACCCTCAGAACAGAGCTGTTGGCGATCATGAACTTGCATCCCCAGTATACTTGACTTTGCTGAATGAGGCAAGAGACATACTGCATGCAGCTTGCTTGTTTTATTCCAATTCAAGAGCTGGTTGCCTTTCTTTCCCCGCCTGGTGTATTTTGTAGAGTGTATGAGGTCAACAAGCTCACACCCTCCCCGTCCATCCCAAGTCCATTCCAGTGTCATTTCCAGCTGCCCCCCAAGGTCAGGTGCAGGCTTCTTTCCACAACAGCCTGCACTTCCCAGGAAGCACTTCTCCAGCTCTGGCATTGCTGTCCCTCTGCCCTGCCGAGTGACCAGTGAGCGCCTTGCCCACAGCTCGGCTCAGAAGCCAGGCATCTGCTGAGAGTGACACGGAGGGATTGTGATTCAGGGATACTTGGCCCTGCAGGAGGACCCCTATTAGTGCAGCATCTTCATGTCTCCATCCTGCCCACAAGTCCCGCACAGCCACAGCTACACCTGCCGCCGACAGAGAACCCCGCTGTGCTTTTTCCCTGTCACTGAGCAGCCATCTTGAGAAGATTGTCCAGGGCTCTGAAAAGGATTCCTGGACAGATGGCAATCTTTTCTGTTGTCGCTATACTGTAGGAGGTGGTTGCAAGTGAATATGTCATTGGAGGACTGATCTGTTAGTGCCCGTGGTTCCGTGCAGAGAGCACCAGGCACTGGGCTGCATCACCAGGTGGCTGCATGACCGAGTGAAATATTAATTCCGTTGGAGTCACAGAACTAAGATTCAAGGAATTCACGCTCAGTTGGCTCAGTAGAGGCTCAACACATCACCCTTCCCTCTGCACTCCCCATGCATACTGGAGACACTTTGCCTTATTATTCACAAAGGTTAAAAAATCATTCCCCTCCTCCCCCCGCAAGTCCTTAACCAAAAGAACCGTCTAGTCCTGTACTTCCCAGTAGGAGTGGCCAGTGTTCCTCATCTGCAATTGGGCCATCCCTCCCGTGTTCCCACTGGCCACGGATGCCAGAGATCAATGTGACAATGGAACCACCCCGTCCTTCCCTCCCACCCCACACAGAGGAAGACCCCTCAGGATTCCCCTTCCCTCCCCCCCCCAAGAAGGGTTCAAGGTGGAGCCACTCTTGAAGTTCAAACAACAGGAGTGCAGAAATCGCACTGCCTTGAGACAGGAGACACAGCCCCGGTTTCATGACAAGAGCCCAAGGGGAGATAGACATCGCTTCACATCAATGGCTTCTCCAGCAAACCTGATCAGAGGTTCTATTTCTTGAACATTTGTTATCATCGGCCTGAGCTTACACTTACCTGCCTGCTGGGGAAGGCAGTGATCTGGCGGCCTAGGAGAACAGGATAAACTGAATCCCTGAAATGCTGCAGCCCAGAGCTTCCTGCCTCAGCCTTCCATGGCGGCAGCGGTGGCAGCAACATAATGAAACCCTGGTGTCATTTACCGTAATTAGCATAGCAATTTGCTTCACATTTTCAAAAAGTGCTAATAGATGTTAACTCAAAATAGATTAAAATACCAGACAAATTACTACTACCTTAAAAAGAGTTATAATAATTTTGAAAATGTAAATTATGGTTATGCAGTCTTGGGAGAGAACTATAAAATCCAATCTTTCTTATATTTAAAAAAAAAACATGTGGCACATGGTTTTTTCCCTTTAATCACAGTAATTTCTTCAAATGACACCGCTGCATATTTCTGTAGGAAGACACACTGCATTTTTCAAATCTCGTGTGTCATATAGGAGTTGCCGTTGATAGTTTTCAGCAGGAAGAAAACAAATTGAACACAGCGAACCAGGATCAGAAGGAAATCTAAAAAAGAACATAATCATCCCAGTGTTCCCCGTTTACACACAGGCGATATGGGAGAACAGTCCTTTTCATTGTAGCGAGTGGAGTTTGGCAGGGCCCAAAGTCAGCAGAGAGGCCTCCGTGGGCCTAGCGGTTCCGTGGTGTAGCCTGTCCTGGTGTCCCGAGCCCCTCCTCTCTGGCCACAACGGAGCTGAGCTCGTTTGTCCTGGTGAGGAATCAGTGAACACAACCTTAATGTAAGAGGTTTGCATTTTGTGGCCAGGAAATGGTGTGAGGAAAAGAGGCAGCCCATCCTCGTGGAAATACAGGTGTATATTCCTTGGGTAACTTTCTTTCCAGTGATGCTGCTAAAATGGGATGTATTTCCCCCCCCCCCACCTTATTTTCTGGTATTTATAGAGAGCACAGTTAGGGGAAAAAAAAACTGATCCGGTTTCCCTTGGTAAATGGAGGGATATGGACATCAGAGCATCCGATGGAGGAAATTAACCCTGCTTGTGGGAAGGCCTTCACTGCAATGCCCAACTGCCCCTTCCTTTATAGACTGCGGAAATCGGTGTCTCCATGAATCAGGATCGCTTGAGATAACCAGTATGCCTCTTCCTAGAAAATAGTCACTGCACAGAGACTTTGTTGTTAAAACTTGGCTCTGAAGTTTTGAAGGCACCACATGGGACATCGACACCCCACAGCAGAGAGCCCCGATTCTGCGCGCCTCTGGCTGCTCACTCCAGCTGCCTGTAGAGCAGAGCTCGGGAGAAAACGGGTAGTGGCTCCAGGGGTTGGGCCTCTGCCCCCCATCTGAGAGCCGTAGAGCGGGAGTCCAGTTCCTGGCTTTGGCCTGCCCGGCTGTGGTGGGCATTTGGTGAATGAGCCAACGGATAGGGGTACTTAAAAATAAAAATCGTCCAAAGTGTCTGTCAAACCCAGATGTCAAGATTCCTACAGGCTCATTTGTGGATTGGAGAAAACAGTCTTTGTGGTGGATTTGAATGTTTGGCCTCGTCCATGCTTTTCTCACCTGTGCTATTAGTTTGGTGCCCTGGGACCACATTTACCCGAGGTGATGCGAGATGCATTTCTCCAGGGTTGCTGAGCAAGTGGATTCAGCCATCTCTTGGTGAAACCCGCATTCTTCAGGTTTGGAGCAGGAGGGAGCATCGGTGAAGGAAGAGGAAGGAGTTCCTGACAGTGGATATATAAAACCCAGACTGTGTTATTCTGGAAAATTCTGGTATCACCTCCAGAAAGCATTGAAATGGACTAGATACTTCCTGTCCATGAATTTTTAGAGGAAATCCTAAAAATTACTCCTTGCCGTATTTGATTTTTGACGTGGCAATCCTGACGAGCACCTAGCGAGCGGGCCTTCAGTGACGGTTCATCGCGTGGCCGCTGCGTGGCCACGTTTTTCGCTCACGGTGCTCCGCACCTTCTTACACGAATCCCTGGGACAATGCTGGGACTCACACGCTTGCTTTTTATGCTGAGGCTGCAGCTGGGAAAACCGACGCGGAAAGAAATGAGGCGAGAACAGGATTCGCACCTGTTCTGGCAGGCTCCGTTTCTGCTGAATTGAGCTTCAGGGGCCATAGTCTTTCTCCGCTTTAGGCGGAGCTTGCTAACGTTAAAGTTCAAGGAAATCTGTGTACTAGGACTTTTATTCCAGTGTTAGGGGCAAGTGGAAAGTTGTATAATGCCACAGGCTCAGGCAGTGCCACTCCCTCCTGCCTCACTCCCCCGGGGGTGGGGGCAGAGAGAAGGAACCGCTAAGGCAGCCTCGTGGGGAGGTGGGGTTACTGAAGGAAGGCTTTCCAGAGAAGGGGCACTGGACTGAAGAGTTTTCCTCGGGGAACTACTGGTCTTCATCTTGGGTGTGGCAGTGCCTGGGCTTTTCTTATTCCTGGATTTCTCTTTTTAATCTGTAGTTTGTTATTTTATCCTTCATTCACTTATAGCCATTACTGGCTCATGATACTAAGATCATAGTTCTTGTAAATTTTCTGTTATGGTAGTGAAAATAGGCATTACACAGGGAAATTACAAAGAGTTTGCAATGGTGAGGGTTTGGTGGTGTCTCAGGCTTGTCCTAGTGGCCCCAATTCTGTGCAATGATGGGCATTAAGAGGGACACAGAAATCACAAGTAACTTCTTTCAGACTAGCTTACTCAGTATAAATAAAATATTGATGTAGCTGAAAATGCCCAAGAGTTCAATAAAGGTTTTAAATAAAGCTACCTAAAAGTTGTGGTTCTTAGGTTAATCATTTATTTATCTAAAGGATGAAGGAAGCTGTCTAGTTCTGTGATATGAACTGCAATCAGCTTAAAAATAATTGACAAATTAATCCCTTCACAGCACAGCAATTGTAAAGGTGTTAGTTTTAATTAGGCCTGTCTGATTGCCTTGTCTAATCAAGAATCAAGGTGGTATCTTTGATGGTTAAGGTCTACTGGGGCCATCTCTGACCTGCCAGCCATGTATGTTTTAATTATTGATTCCTCACTTTTCAGCCTTTCCCACAAAGAGATGTGAAGTTTGCAGTCCCTTACCATTTACCGGGAAGAGAAAATAAACATTTTCCCCAGCGCTTCTGTCTAGAATCCTGTGTATCCTTCCTCCAAACCCCCCATTCTGTGGTCTGGCTTCTAAAAAGCCTGTCAGATTGATGACAGAGCCAGCTCCATAGTGGGATGCCGTTGTCCTGTTTTCTCATCTCCCCAGCGCTAGATTTTCCCTGGATGTGGTTAGGAGCCTGACAGATCACTGTCATTTACTCTTTAGGAAAACACATTTGATTTCTTTATACCATGCCTTTAAGGACAGATGTAGTACCGGGAAGTCAGAGGTAAGACCAAAGGGGACACAGGTCTCAGAACACTTGGTTCCCGCGCAGCTGCCAGGAAGGCCCTGGCAAGGGAGCAGGGCCAGCAGTGCGGCGTAGTGGTCCTGGGGTGTGACGTGCCTCTTCTTTGTCGCAGGTCAATGAAGTGACAGTGGAGCAGCTCGTGCAGCAGTACCCACACATCACCTTCAGCACTGTCCTGCAGGACTGCAAGAGGACCTTGGAGAGAGCCTACCAGATGGGCTGGACCCCCAACATGTCGGCCGCCACCTCCTAACACCTGTGCTCTTGCAGGGTCATTCAGCAGGCCCAAGGGGCCATGTAGATTTGGGGTGGGGATCCCCGAGTGGTTTTAGGTGTCACCTGTGTGCGTGTGTACCAGAGTGTGTCTACCTGTGTGCTGTTTGCTTACCACGCAGCCCGAGCGCACCCATTACCTGTTCCCCAGTGAGCTGGGCTTTGTTTCTTAAATTTACAGATCATGAGAGCCACAAACATTTGTTTTTAAGTTCAAAGGCTTACTTTTCTAATAAGTATTTTTTTAAATATCCATTTAAATAGATTGAGTGTGTCATTGTGAGTGTCTAATTGCTGACACTTGCCAATGTCCCAAAAGGAAGGCCACCTCTTTGATGGGGTGGAATGGTGTGCTTGCCCTGGGGAAACCCCAGAGGGACGGGACACTCAAGAGAAGCCTGCAATGCAACAGTATCCACAGCTTACACACACACACACAGAGCAGGGCTGTTCCTCTAGATCCATTTCCTGGAAGAGGAGCCTTCCTCCAGGGCCGCTGAGGAAGTAGGTCATCGACTCTGGTGGCTCAGCCTAGCACAGTGTATCCAGAGGCGGCCAACTTCATATTTGGTGGGTGACTTGGGGACTTGAGAGAATAAAGCCTTTTTAAAATATTTTATATAGAGGCAACAATCCGAACTCCCTTAGCCAGCTCACAAATTATTCATTATTCTGCAAATGCATTCTGTTGAGTACTAAATATTTTAGTTGGTTTTACGTTAACATTGTGTTAGCTTTTATTTCATAGATAGTAACTGGTTGGGATATATTTTTGATGATATTTGGAGCTAATCTTATCCACGTCGAAGCCACCAACATAACTAATGGTGTGAAGTTATTAATAAAAACTACAGATCACTTCATTGTTAACTTTGGTAATTATGAAAGTACATTTGAGATTTTGGGGTAGTTGCATTAGTAGCATTATCAATAAACAAAATATAAATAGACAATCCTATTGAATTCTTTTATTTTTGCTTTGCTTTGGTTTGGGAACAGGTTGTTTTGGATCTATGCATGTTATTCTTTGAGTAGTTCTTATGCTACTGCGAAGATCTATTGCTAGCTAGCATATGATTTAAGAAAAATTAGAAAATCTGTTCATTCAGATTCTGTTTACAGTTGTCGGAGTGAGCATTTTCTTGCTTTATTAAAGATTGTGAGCTTTCGGTGAAGACAGTACCTATCAGTAAATGAATATATATTTTGATTTCACACGTCTCTACAATAAATTCATAGTAGGGACTCGGGCTCAAGTAACTTTTCCTGTGTCTAGATTTATCAACAAGACAGCAGGGAGCCTTCTTAAGTTAAAGAGTGATTATCTTTTCTCTGTAGAACTAGACAAAATCCTGACTTGTGGATTTGCTATTTATTCTTCCCTGGTGTGGATGTAACTATTAGTTGGTCTTTAACAGTTAAACTGACTTGATACTGTTTTCTGTAAGTCCCAATGTTGCTAAGGTAATACATGCATATAACCATAGATACCTTTACATTTGGATGCCATTCACATATTTATGATGAATTTTTTGTAAACACCTTTCCTTTGATTATGTCAACTTGTTTCCAATATGGCATTTTCTTCTTTTGTTTTTAATCCCAATCACTTAAGAAAATCTAGTTAGTAAGACCTAGAATATTTCCCATAATTATACAGGATTACTACTTTAATTTGAAGGGAGTAACATTAATAAACTGAAATTCTTACATGTTGAACAACCATTTCATTTCCATATGCATTTCTCCACCGAAGAATCTTATTTCATAATATTTTAACTGATTTTAACCCAAAACTAATTTATAAGACAGTATGTATAGTAAGAATAGCTTGAGTGAATAAACAGAACTTTAGTTTTTATATGTCACACTATATTTTAAACAGTTTTGAAAAAAGAAGGGAGAGCCATCTGATGTAGATGGTAGCATTTCAGTTCAAAGTTGAGATCCTCTTTGGCGTGCTTCATGTTGGGTGTCAGATGGCTGCAGAGTGCATAACCGATTTCCCTTTTTGTTGTTGCATTGTTTGAATCTGACTCGCAGCACTGTAACATGCTTTTAGCTGAGGTTTGGGGGTGGCGGGGTGGGGGGACATGCACTTACTCTAAAATGTTGACTAATCCCAAAAGCCTGATGCAACATAACCTGGAAACCTGCTTTGGTCCATTTGTAGAAACCTGTAGAAATCTCATACCTAGCCTCGAAGCATAAATTACAAAACACAGCCAGGAAAAGCATCCCCCAGCACGAGCCTGTGTCGGTCGGTGAATGTGCTCTCATTAGATGCTTTGAAATGAGGCTTTCAATAATTTTTCTGGGCAATATAGTTTGTTCTTTTTATATAGCTTAGAGTGTCATAAATACATGTGAACATGTTTAATGCAGGGCTTTTTATCCTCTCCGAAATGTCAACAGTATTTTCAGAATAAAGACTATGAAATATATGGCTGTAGTGGAAAATCCTGGTCCTTTGTCTTTAATGTCTTTTTGAGTGGATAAAGAAAATTCACCCAGTTTGTAGTTTCTATATTTCTGTGAATCTTTTGACCTTGCAATGGATTGCAATAAAAGAGAAACAGAAGACTGTGTCTGTATTTTATTTCAGGGACAATAAATGGCCTCTCTGATGTGGGTGGGGCCTGATGCGTGCAGTGGGCTGCGTCCTTGTGTTTCGCCTCAGATTTAGGGATTGGCTGACCCAGAGTAATAAACTAGCCAGACTGAGGGAGATTCTGATTTAGCCAGTGATTTGCCAAGATAAGAATAAAACCTCCAGGGTTTCAACAGATGGGTTGTTTTAAATCCCATTCCTTAAACAATCACCCATCTCCTTAGCTATTATTTAGCTTCTCAAAAGTAAATACGTAAATTAAACATGGAGTAACATGTACGTGCCAGGAGGTTTAAAGATTATGAAACTCATTCACGCCCACCTTCAACTGGCCAGTAACCTCCCCCCAAAAAAACACCCACTAGGAAACTCCCTGGAGGCTGACAGATGGCATCCTGCCCAGAATTCCAGGCAGCACTCGAGGTCTTGGGCATAGGGAGCTTCACATGGAGAAGGAGGGGAAGGCAACAGGAAAAATGGGCAAATGTGTGCAGAGTCAAAGGAGAATGAAAAAGCAGGGCAAATTCAAGGTCGCCTCAAGGTAGCAGGGAAGAGGGCATGCTCTGTAGGGGGAACAGGTGGAGAAGCACCCTAGAGAGGTGAAGACGAGTCGCCTGGTGGCCTGCTTGGGTGACTGGTCACTAGAGGAAACTCCAGTTTTGTCCCAAGTCTTCAAGCACAAGTGTGAATGAGGGACTTCCATTTCTGCTGACAGGGCAGCAGGAGGATCTTGAGACCACTGCTGTTGTATCTGGAAGTGTTCATTGAAATTGTCTCTAAATTCTTTGGAATGACTGCATGTGGCTGTGAGTGTGGAGAGCAGAGATAGGCGAAGCAGGGCCTCTGGGTCCAAGAGGCCCAAATGCCTGCAAACCACATTTGGGTGGGACCCAGCTGCAGCCATTTGTTTCTGTATTCCATGTGTCTCAGTTCACGCTATAGCAGCATCATTGAGTGGCTACTATGAAGACCACAAGCTCCACAAAGTTAACCCTCAACCGCAAGGTGAGCCTCCACTTGCAATGCTAGTGTGTCGTGTCAACAGGCCAGTGTGCGTGCCACCTCCAACACTTTCCATCCACCTCCTTGTTCATGCCTAAAAAGGCAGCAGATGGGCATCTGCCACCCCAGGGGAGACCTGCATGTGGCCTGGCCCAGGACCAGCGGCTGTGGCTAGTGTGTGCATGTGTGCCCTTGTCACTTTACCTTTCAGTGATTAACTTTTTAAAAAGTGTGGAAAATGGAATTAATATAAATGGGGTTTTAAAAATATTTGAAAAGCAGTCACACACATCCCTTCTGTCTGCTGGCTCACTCTCCAAATGGTCATAATAGCTAGGGCTGGGCCAGACCAAGGCCAGGAGCTTTACCCAGGTCTCCCACATGAGTACGAGACCCCATGGACATAGGCCATCTTCTACTACACTCCCAGGTACCGGAGCAGAAGTAGCACAGCCAGAACTCAAACCAGTGCCCCTGTGGGATGCCACCACTACAGACAGCAGCCCAACCTTCTGCACCAGAGCATTGGCCTCAACGTGTTTATGATGATTTTAGATTTCTATTAGCTGGCTCTTTACAGAGAAAACTTACAAAGTTTGGCCTAAAGGAATTGTTCTGCAGCCATGGTTCCTAAGCCACATGTGTCAGCATGCCCGGGAGCTGGCAGGCCGTGTGCATGGTAGGGTCTCCCCCCCAATGGGCAGCAACATCTGAACCTGGGGAGCAAGACCCACACTGCTGGCTCAGCAGGTCCTCCAGCGGTGCCCTGCAGCCAAGGGCAGGTATGGCACACTGGGCCAGCCACCAGCTGGCCATCCAAGCCAAGAGTGTGTCACCTGAGGCCCAAGGGCATCTGCCCTTGGAAGAACACAGCATCAAACCAAACTAAATGCAAAAGAACCACGAAGAAGCAGAGAGTCAGAAAAAAGGACCACTTGGAGCAGTGGCTACTCACGGACTTTTTTTGTATAAGCTCCCCTCCAAATAAATGGTCACGGTTGGCATCCCCCTGGGGGTGAGCAAACCCTGTTCACCCTGTTTGTACAGCGTGTGCTTATCTTGTTAAAAGGGGCTACATCAGCAATACTGTGCAGAACAAAACCAACCCTGGAGGACACCCCCAAGTCCACACCTCAAGGAGACCTTGCAGCTGCAGAACCAACACACAGAAACTCACAACCTGACACACACACACACACACACACACAGAAGTGGGAGTTTGCCTTTTCTGCTGCCACTTGGATGACCTGATGCCAAACAGCACATCCGTGTCCTCAAAGGCGTCACAGTGACGTTTTCTGACACATGAGAAAATGTTTGATACAAAAAGACATTTAAGAAATGTGTAAGAAGAGCCAGCACAACGACAGTGGGTCAAACCACCTCCTGTGATGTCAGCATCCCATAGGACTGGAGGTTTGAATCCCAGCTGCTCCACTTTCCATCCACCTCTCTAACTTGCCCGGGGAGTGTATGAGCCCCTGCCACCCACACAGAGAACCAAATAGAGCTCCAGGCCCCCAGCTCTGGCCTGGCCCAGCCCTGGACTTTGCAGTCACTTGGGAAGTAAACCTGCAGATAAAAGATTCTCTCCCTCTGACTTCCATTTTTCTGTAAATAATCTAGAAATTTTTTAATATATGTATGAGAAAAAAAACAGCAAAAGTGAACAAATGCATTTGTTAAGGAACCAAGTATTTTTTCTATATGAAAAGTACAATAAAAATTAGAATGGAAGATTGGAATAGTATGTGAAATGCCTAGACAGGAAGAGTTTATTAAAGATACAAAGCCAAAGGGTCAGAAAATGTGCATTGCAAAGAAAACCTTTGCATGGATTTCAAAAATGTTTTGCTCCACAAGGAGTTTCTCTCTTAATTCCATTTTCCAAGAACCTTTCACAGCACCTTCGAAGACTTCAGCGAAGCAAAAACAGAACCGGAAAAAAAATTGTTTTTCCTTTGAATGGATGATTTCCGTATTAAGACATATGGAGTATAGTTCAGAACTTCATAATATCTAATCTTGCAGAAGAAAAAAATAGAATAAGGGAAAGGCAATGTTTCCAGAGATAATGGAATTTCCATTGGTTGGTGGAAAAGAATGCAAAAAGGGTTTTGGAGGAGAATATAACAACTTTGGTTTTAGATAAGTTACTTTTGAGAAGTTTAGTCATCCAAGTGAGTACAATGGGCACACAAATAGGAATGGAAGCTCAGAGGCAGGCGTCGTAGCACAGCATGTTAAGTCTCAGCCTGCAATGCCAGCGTTGCTTATGAGTACAGGTTCAAATCCCAGCTGCTTCACTTCCACTCTTTTGGAAAGCAGCAGACTATGGCTCAAGTCCTTGGGCCTCAACACCCATGTGAAAAACCAGATTAAGTACTAGGCTCCTGGCATCAGGCTGCATCAACCCTGGTTGCGGAGGTTTCTGTCTCTTCTTTCTGTAGTTCTTTTCAAGTAAATACATCTCTAAGTCTGATTTACAGAGAGAAGGAGAGACAAAGATTTTCTATCCTCTGGTTCACTCCAAGTGGCCACAACAGACAGAGCTGAACCGACCTGAAGCCAGGACCCAGGAGCTTCCTCCAGGTCTCCCACACAGGTACAGAGTTCCAAGGCTTTAGGCCATCCTCAATTGCTTTCCCAGGCCACAAGCAGCGAGCTGGATGGGAAGCAGAGCAGCTGGGACACAAACTGGCGCTCATATGGAATCCCAGTTTGTGCGAGGTGTGGACTTTAGGCATCAGGCTACTGCGCTGGGCCCAATAAAGAAATCTTAAGAGACATGTTTGATTCCTAAGGGGGGACAATGATGGTGAACAGATGGCATTTGAGGCTGTGGTCCTGTATGGAGTCAGCACCCGTGGTCATCACCCATCAGCCGGCATAGAGGGAGATGTCTGAGGAAGAGGATTGCGGGCATTCCAAGGTTTGGAAGTTGGGGAGATGAAGACAGTGATGGATTCGGCCGAGAGGCCAATCAGGAGCATGCTGTACTTGGAACCCAGCAAGACGAGTTCCAAGGTGGACAGTCATCCCACATGCCAAGTGCTGGGACACTGATGCCCGACTACTCGACTTAGCCACCTGGACACCAGGACACCTGTTTAATAGGACGATTTTGATGCTATGGCACAGAGTTAATAGCACAAGAACTGAAATGAATTAGCTCATCTCACCTAGGACAAAGTGCAAACTATTGGCAGACCCAAGGGCTGAACTAAATTTAACTGTATTTTAGAATGCGCCTGCTACAGAAACAAATTGCCACCAATACAGAGCTCACTGTGGTGTAGTAAGCTGAGCCTCTGCCTGGGATGTCAGCATCCCATGCGGGCACTAGTTCATGTCTTGGCTGCTCCACTTCTGATTCAGCTCCCTGCTTGCTGCCTGGGAAGGCAGTGGAGGATGGGTCAAGTCCATGGCCTCCCGTCCCCACATGAGAGACCCACAAAAGACTTCTGGCTCCTGCCTTTGGATCAGCTCTGCTCTGCCTGTTGTGGCTGTTGGGAGAGTGAATCCGTGCATGTAAGATTCATTCTCTCCTTCTCTGTAAATCTGCCTTTCAAATAAATACTTTTTAAGATTAGTTTTTGATCCAGTTAGCAAATGCAAAGGCAACTAGAGACATTGCAAGTCCCTGCCATGCAGTCATCTCCAGGAAAGCAAGCATCAGACCACAACAGCCAACTCTAAGAAACAACCCGCAAGAGCATCCCTCCCCTGCGATCTTCCCTGCCTGGTAACACTTTGCATGGAGCCCAGCAGCCCAAGGAGGGAGAAGCATCTCAAAAAGACAGGCCTTGTTTGACTCCGTGCTGCTCCTTGCCACGTGACGAGAGATTTTCACGCATTCCTTGACCTTTTCCCACAACTTGGCATCACTTGAAAGCTCTGGAGTTTAGAGGCATCGTTGCCCAGTGGGCTAAGTAGTCCTGACTACTCCAGGCTGGCGGGCATTTAGT